GGATGGATGGATGTATGTATGGTGATGGATGTATGGTGAAGGGTGGATGGATGGATGTATGGTGATGGATGTATGGTGAAGGGTGGATGGATGGATGTATGGTGATGGATGTATGGTGAAGGGTGGATGGATGGATGGTGATGGATGTATGATGAAGTGTGGATGGATGGATGAATGGTGATGGATGTATGGTGAATGGTGGATGGATGGATGTATGGTGATGGATGTATGGTGAAGGATGGATGGATGGATGTATGGTGATGGATGTATGGTGAAGGGTGGATGGATGGATGGATGGATGTATGGTGATGGATGTATGGTGAAGGGTGGATGGATGGGTCATATTTGGGTTTGGGTCATATTTTTYAATCCGTTCAGTTTTCTCTATTCCCCTTTACGTTTTTTGCTCAGCACAGTCCAATCTGTTGTTGTTTTTTTACCCCATTTTATGACAGAGCCCTAAGTCAGGCTTTGCTGTGGACATTAGCAGAATGATGATAGCAGGTCAGATAATATTGAACGGGAAGCTCATTTTTCAAAATATGGTTCACAGTCTCCTGAAGGAGACACTGAAATAAAGATTTTAGTAAGATAATGCTGATAAAAAAAATCCTTTACATGATAAGTTTTTAAAGCACCCTATGTGTGCTCCAGATGTGAGTGAAGTCTGTTTCTGGTYTTTCAGCCATGTAGCCTCTCTGTCTAGGTTCAGACTGCCGTCTCCAGGGAAGCACAGAGTAACCCAGCTGTGAATGTAGGCCAGAGCTGAAACAGTCAAGTACTCGCCCCCACATGTCTTACATACTGTATGTTATTTTCCACCATCTTTATCCTGACCGTCTGTCTTTGTGTCTTTATTCACAGAGGAGCTGTTGAAGCAATTAGCAGAGGTGGGAGCTGAGAGCGACCGGTTGGTGGGGGAGAAATGTTCGGGCTGGGCGGCCATGCGGCCCTGACACTCATGTCGTTACTGCTGCTGTTGTGGCAGGAAGCAGCATCCATTGAAGTTCCTGATGACCGTAAGTCCCTCAGCAAATGCTAGATCCTCTTTTCCTTCTTGTTTTTCTGAAAACTACACATACGTATTACACTGCACTACAGCCCTTACAAAGATTGATCTGTTTGATGTGTTTCAAACTCGTCACCAAAGGGCGCTACAGTTACAAAGCCATAAACAATTTAAATGCTAGGGATGTCCCGATCCAGATTTTTTGGCTCCCGATACAATCCGATTTTTTTTAATGATTACTCTTTCTGATACCGATCCGATAGCTTTATTTCTTTCCAGGTGACAAGGTTGGTAGCATTAAAGTGAGCCCTGCTGTTGCCACCATGAGAAA